TCCCAGTGGTCTCCCTGCTGCCCCTCCTGCTTCTGTTAAGAGTCATTGGGCAGCCCGAAGAGCTTGACAGTGCCGGCCTCGCGGCTGCTGTCGTATTTGCCATCTTTGTCGTCACAGGCGAAGGCCAGCAGAGGCCTCTTCGGGTGCCAGGCCACTGTGAAGGTGGGGGACTCGCACTGCACCTCCCAAAGCTTCTCTCCTGCGCAGAAGAGGGGCCAGGTCAGGAGAGCTCTGGCCTTTGCCCCGCGGCCCCCATCATGGGTGAGCAGCCACCTCCTCCTGCCTCTCGCACGCGGCAGGGGGGCAGCTCCGCTTCGGTGCTTTCATCAGCAGAGCACGAGACACAGACACAACAGCTCTGAAAAGGAGCAGCTAGGCAGAGGCTCCCCCTCCTGCCCAGCCGAGCTCTCTGCAAGCACACGATCCTCCCCAGACCCTCCCAGCGCCACCAGCACCTCCCTGTCCCATTCCCTCCTTGCTCCTCGCCAGTGGGGAACCATTACCTGTCTCCACCTCCGCAATGTCAATGAAGTGATCCTCGGATGCCGATGCCAGCATCTTCCCATCGTGGCTAAAGCTCAGCGTTCGCACAGGCCAGTCGAGCCTGCAAGAGCAGGGCCAAGCAGACAGTGAGCGATGTCCCAGCGGGTCCCCAGAGAGGGCAGGGAGAAAGGCTCAGGGCAGCAGGACCTACCTTGAGAAGCACCTCACACACACCAGCTCATCCACGTCCCACAGGCTGACGAGAGCATCGGCACTGCCTGTGGCAAAGTACTTCCCCATGGGATCAAACTTGATGCAAATACAGTTTGAAGGATGAGCATTGATGGACTGAATGGGTTTCAGCTCCGGGTAGCTGTGGAGAGGGAAGAGACAGGAAGCAGTGAGAGGAGCAGAGGGTTTGTCTACAAGCAGACAAGGTATAAGATGCACTGGAACAGTGAGTAAGTAAAACAGGAGACCCTGAGAGATGGGTCAAAGAGGGAGGCAAAGCATCTGGATAATTCCCCAAGAAGCGCAGCCCAGAACTGAGGCAACCTCAGCCCCAGGTCATTTTCCTCCCACTAGGGAGGTGGGAAACACCAGGGAGCAGGACCTCAGCTCCTGCAGGCAGCAGGGAGACTCGTATCACTGTCGACAAAGGCAGACATTAGTCTGCATCAAGGCAGCCAGGCCACCTACTCCCCTGCCTGCTGCCACAGGCACCTACCTGAGGATATTGATGCAGCCGTTCCCGTTGGTGAGGAAGAACATGTTGTTATCATTGTTCCAGGAGATCTCATTCACTTCAAACTTGAACTGCTCCTCTGCTTTGGAACGATGCGTCTTGGCATCGATGAAGGTGACAACGTCATCCTTGTTCCCTACTGCAATGGTCTGGCCGTCAGGGCTCCAGCAGATGTTGATGTTCTCTCCTGGATGGAAAAAGGGCAGTGGGTCCCGTTTCCCCAGCAAGCTGCGGGACTGCAGCACATTAAGCAGACACAGGGCCTTTTTGTTTCCCAACCCAAGGTCACAGGCTGCTCCACTAACTCTGAACTGCTCCCAACTCCGGGACAATCTGCAGCTCAACACACAAACCCTGCTTAGCAGCTGGTTAACACACACAGAGTTAACGAAAATTAAATTTAACAGAACCCAGCTTCAAAGCGAGATGATTGCACCACTCCTCCTTCCAGCTCAGTCAAGACGTGACTGCAGAAATGACCAGCAAGATCAAACCAAAGAGCCTCTTAACCCCGTGATCTTCAAGATCCAGAAGCAGCAGCCAATAACAAGCACAGAGGAACGAGGGTAAGAGTGAGGCAAGCTGCAGCTACACCATCCTGCAGTGCTCTTCCCAGACCCAGCAATTCGAAATTGGAGCTTTCCTCAGAAATGATACTTGGGTTAATCGGCCCATAAATTTGGTTAACTGCATTCTCAATCCATGTCAGCTTTTAGCTGCACCACAGCTCTCTGCAAACGTGCCTGTCCTTCCCCCTGCAGGCTCCAGGGACAAGCACAGAAGTCATGTTAACAACCAGCACCACTCTCATAGGTTTCTCCAGCCTGGGCACCAGCACAAGACACCCCGCTGCCCTCTGCTGCTCCACGCACCCGCTCGAGGAGGATAAACACGACACAAAAGCGGTCACCAGAGGCACCGGTGCGGGCAGCCCGCGGGGCACGTGCCCGCACGCACCTTTGGTGTTGACGGTGGCGATGCACTTGGTGGTGCGCACGTCCCAGATGCGGATGGTCTTGTCGCCGGAGGCCGTGACGAAGAGGTCGGGGTTGCTGGGGTGCCAGCAGAGCTGGTCCACGCTGTCGCCGTGCCCGCGGTAGTTGTTCTCCTTCACCTGGGGGACACAGGGCGGCCGTGGGGCCC